AAACGCAATGATGCCTAACTTAGTAATTATGATGTGGTGAGTGCTGGCAACAATAAATGATCTGCTGTTAATTATGATGTATTGCAGGACTCGGCCGTGGAGTACGACTGTGGCACGAATGACGACGGAGTGACGAACTACTGCGTGCACATCCTCTCGCGCACCGCCACCATGGCTGCTGACAAGGAGGCGGCCCTCTTGCAATATGCTGGTGAGGCATTCATTTCCAGGGTGTTCTCTGTTCCTATGAGGGTAAAACATAAGAGACTGAAAATTATAAACCATGTGAATTAATTGTTACGATGTTTTAGACGATGTTATATAGATATTTTTAGCTATCTGGCCGGGCTTAAAAAACCAGATGGCAAATGCAACAGTTGACAAGGCATTCATAAAAATAAATCTCAGGGCCCCATTTTAGCTCAATTAGAGGACGCAGATAATTAAGGGTGCAGACTGCGTACGGATGGTCTATCGCATTGAATTTCCAATAAATTTTTACCTCACTACCCTCTTAGATCAAAAATTAGGAAATCTTGATTAACGTCTGAGACTTAAGGCATGTTATAGTTGCAACAGGAGATCGAGAAATGATGTTGGTTCCCAGACAATGTTTATTTGACCATCGCGAGTGTCACTTGATTTGGAACTCTAAAATAATCGTTTTGTTTAATTAAGAGGAAATCAAATATTTTAATTACGATCCAATACCTTTTAAATCATGGGTAAATTGTAATTCAAATTTGATGTCTTTCCTTTTATGCTGTTCCAACGAAAGTTAGCTAACTTATTTCGTATTCGTCTCATTTCTAATGCTTAAAAAGATACATAGTTTCGAATATAGTAAAACATCTGAGGGCAGATTAATAATGTATTTAAGAAGGCCACTTCTAATTATTCGTTTTTATTCAACTTGTTTTATTTTACAATCACAATATAACAATTGTATGATGGCGATTATGCAAAAGTGTATACAGCTTTTGAGCAACGAAAAACGTGAATCGTGTGCATCGTGATTCAAACTTAGAATCATTCGGGAAATCATATTTTAATTGTAGATAAATGAAACAATAAGGAGTTATGGACGATTTTTTGCTGGATGACTACTAAGCATCACTCAACTTTCTGAAGCTATTCAAGAGAACGGTATTTTATGAAAAAGAAAGGGAAATAATAGTAGGAGTGTAGGACAAGCACCACCTGCCATTGAAACTATACAAAACGCAAATTCATATTATGCTTCACATGAAATTAATGAGGATTTTGCTGCAAAAGATGAATGATTATGTGCTTATTACTCATTTTCAAGTTGTTGCGTAAATATATGTTTTTCTCCCCTCAGAGGATTTGGGGCTCAACCCTGACGGCATCGAATACAACCCCGTGCAGCAGGAGGGCTGCTGGTGAAGCTGTCAGGCTCCAGGGTTATGTGTGTCAACGCTGGCAGTCAAAGACCGGCTTGTTTATTTTCTGTTGTAAATGGAAGAATAGTTCGTTGCCCTTAGTACCAGACTGCGTTTTATTTTCCTTTTGTTTCTGTAAGGGCTGTCAACAGACGGAAATTTATTTTCAACTATTCCATAAAGATGTGCCATTCAGCCAGCTTATTGTTATTGCATATACTCTCGTGTTGTGGGATTCCATTTGTTGTAGGAATAATATCTGAACTGACAATGTGAGAAAAGAGACGTTAACACTAGAAGCTCAAACAGCAGACCGAGTCTGAGTCTTAGTCGCGTTGCTGAGAATAAAATCCCCTATAAAATTCAAACAGAACAAAGTTTGACATTTATTATTAAGCCAGCGCTAGTTATTCCAGAAGTTGGAAATTGAATGGTTTGCCTCTAAGAATGAAACCGTTTTGCAATTTATTTTATAATGCCGGTTAAAATCCCGTTTTGAAATTGTGTTTCAAAGCCCGTTTTAAAATTTCCTTTCATAATCTCGTTTTAAAATCCCGCTTTAAAATAAACGCAGTCATAAAATCTCAATTTTGGAATCCCGTTTTAAAAACTCGCCCAGTCATCTGTATGATGAATGTCGGATGGGTGAACTCCCCTCCTCTCGGCTACTTGGGCAAGCCGTTGAACAGTCTCGGTCCTGCATTGCCACGGAAAGGGATATGCCATCGATGTTACGTAGTAGGTGTTAGGAAACGAAGAGTTTTGGTCTGTAGTCATTACTTGATGGTATTGATGACGTAAGCTGGGAGTGAGATTTAATATTAGTTTGACCATAGTTATAAAGAATATACATGAAACTTACACCAAGCAGGGTCTGGATTCCAATTATTTGAACTAATGTACAATTATAACGTTGTTGCTGAGTGCTGGCCTTCTCGGTCTTTGATAAACCATTCAATGACGCCAGATTACAGCGTTAATTTCATGAAGGATTTAGGTTAGCATTAGCATGTAAATGCGTTACATTAATCACACGAAGTGGTTTTTGCAGACAAAAAGAGGCGCCAATATCAATGGAGAGGATCACCTTTCCCAATTTCAGCTTCAGAGAAAGTGCCTGCGCCCCTGCGGTCCCTCCTGTACTGGTTGTGGGGCCAGCAAAATCCGTCTCCCTCACCTAATGTGCCGTGCAAGAGTGAAGCTCCAAAGAGGGTCACAGGACCCACCTTGAATGCACGGAGGCACGCTAAGGACTGAAGGAATAGAAGGAAAGGATTGCGGAAAGAGAAGGAAAGGACTGGAGGAATGGGAAGAAAGGATTGCAGGAAAAGCATTCACTGCTTCACGGAGTTTATCATAGTTGCCTTTTGCAAAATTTAAGCGCCCACGCATCCGAGGCGTCTTTTCTGTACAGCACTTAATACTAAAAAACAATGATTGGTGACGTTTGCCTAATGGACAGCACTCCTATAATGGGTAGGCTTGGTAACGTGCTGGACTAGGATGGAGTCTCTCACTGACTCCATGAACAAGGGTGCTGGGTGATTTCCATCCTTTTTGAGGATCCTTCGGTCCAGTCTAGTTCTGGCTGATTAAAAGCACCAACGATCAACGTGTGTGATCTACGGGAAGTCATGCCCGGAAAACGACTGTCAAGTACTTTATCGTTGTTGGGGACTAATCAATAGATAGGTTTTCTTCGCCCCAAACAATTGACCAGTGATCGTTTTCAAAGGATGAATAAAAATAAGGAATGAAAACCCATAATAATAAACGAACGATAAATAACAAGAAAACAAATTACAAAAATATAAACCGTGTGTCTATCTAGCCCTTCACTTTCAACTTTTAAGAATCCTAGGCTCGGAGCCGAGCTGAAAAAAAACAAATTAATACAAATTAAGGACTCGAATTAACGCAACACTAACAAATAAATATAACACACAATGATAAACTAATATAAATAATAATATTCAATATTTCCAGAAAGGCTACCACTATATTAACACTGAAGATGAACACGATAAACAATCCTGGTAATTACCTCAGTGGTGGATCACATAGCAATGACAAATAAGTAAACATTCATTTGCGAAGTCATAGGTGGTGAATCAAAACGGAAATGACAAATGTAACGTACCCTATTGTAATCCCTAACATCGTTATCAGAGGATCCTTTGGTGATCTATACTATACAAGACGCTCATGAGGAGGCTGTCTTTGCCTTTTAGAGAAAGTCCGAACCACACCGATTCTTTAGCTGGTTGATGCTCTGCAGATAAGTTAACTTGCCGAGCCCCATAAGAGGTTCTAACCCACAGAGCTACACCTCTACTGCATTGCTCTTCATTCAAGTTATGAACCCCCGCCATTAAGCTTAGACACGAGGCAAGTTTAAGGTGCCGCCGTGCCGGTAACGACTATAGATACCGGCACGGCGGCACCTAAACTTGCCTCGTGTCTAAGCTTACTTGCGGGATAGACATCAAGTGGTAGACATTTGGCATTTTTCTGATCTACTGGCCGCCAGTACTGTCCCCGTGTACAAGCACCTAAAGCTTCAGACGCGTTACCAAAATAGGTCGAGGTACAAGAAATAGTTTTCTAACTATTGCCTTCAACCACAGTTTCAGAATATTTGTTTGATAAAAAACGTTTGATTTTACTGAGCACAAGGCACGACGGAAACCCATTCAGCTGAAATATATTACAAATGAATTCAAATTCCAAATGTGTATCATGGAAGGCGGAACAAATCCTATAGCCGCGGTTTATCAAACATCAAAGTTTGAAGACTATTCAATTTGAAACGAAACGAGCAGAACCCAAAGCAGCTCATACCCAATCCGGTACATGTGGGTTTTCGATAAATAGATGTCAGAAAGCGATCGCAAGATTTAGTTACTTTACAATCGAGAAATGGCAAGCTATTGTTGGTTTCTAAATTCCATAGTGAATTTTATTGAAGGATGTTTGAGGTTTAGATAATTTAACAAAAGGCCCGCACGAGAGGGGTGCTTGAAGATCAGAAAGGTATCATCAATATACCTATTGTAAAAAATTGGCTTAAAATCAATGGGACAATAAGCTAGCCACGAAACCTCATGAAAGCACAGGAAAATATTTAGCATAAGTGGGACCGAGGGAAAGGCCCAGTCATAAACCATCAATTTTAAAAACCATCGTTCGGGCCTTTTGTTTGATTATCCAATCCTCAAACATCCTTCCATAAAATTCACTATAGAATTTAGAAACCAACAATAGCTTGCCATTTCTCGATTGTAAAGTAACTAAATCTGGCGGTCGCTTTCAGACATCTCGTGTTTACCGAAAACCCGCATGCACCGGCTTGGGTATGAGCTTCTTTGGGTTCTGTTCGTTTCGTTTCAAATTGAATAGTCTTCAAACTTTGATATAACGTGACTATAGGATTTGCTCCACTTTCCATGATATGCATTTGGAATTTTAATTCATTCGTAATCTATTTCAGCTGAATGGGTTTCCATCGTGCCTTATGTTTAATAAAATCAAACATTTTTTATCTAACAAATTTTCTGAAACTGTGGTTGGAGGCGATAATAAGAAAACTATTTATTATACTTTTCTCCATGTTGGTAACGCGTCTGGTCAAGAAAGCTTAAGATTTTGTTTATGAAATATTTTCCGAATGTTATTTTGCAAGTTTTCCTGGTTAATAATTTAAAAAATGTTTTTTTCTTCAAGTATAAGGAAGGTATTCATGCCCGGATGCGATCGAACCTGGTCTATGAGTATAGTTGTGCACGCTGCGCATTAGCGTACGTTGGAATGACATCGCGAAACTTCTACATCCGGGTTTCTGAACACCGCGGCAGGAGCTATCGTTCGAATTTACTTTTCGGCAGCCTCCTCATTCCTCTGTGCGCTTCCATGCTTAACAGTGCAACGTGGCTGTATCAGCGAGTGATTTCAGGATCCTCGGTTCCACCTCTGGCTGTTCGGACTTGAGTATCAAACATCAAAGGGGCAGGGTGGCCCAGTGGTTAAAGTTCAGAGTACCAAGATTGGCGCAGAGAGGCGCGGGTTCGATCCCAGCTCTGTGCGCCAGTTTCTGGTCAGAATCGGCGAGGAGGCCGGGCGGTTAAGCAAAGCAGAATTGTAGCAGTGAGTTGCTAGTTCGAGACCGCAAAATTCTGTGAATGTTCTGCGATGTTAAGAATCGGCGACAGGCCTACGGCCTAATAAACGCTGAAACCGCTATTATTATTATTATTATATTATTTTCAAACGAAAACTATATCTCAAAAATGCTCACAGTTCTTATCCTCTTGAAATATGTAGTGAATCGCTAGGCTTTCATTTTCTAGTAATTATTTTCTAATGCTCCGTGAGCGTTTATTTTCGATTTTAGGGCTGATATGTCTCTTATTTGTCAATTGTAGGCTTCAATGTCTGACTTTGGAGTTTGAATTATAATGATTGTTTTCATTATTCCAAGGTTTTTGAACTGATGACGGAGCTAGACTCCGAAACGTTTTCAATATAGATATGGTCAATTTACTTGGCGTTCTCTTCGCTTTTAAATACCTTGTTAACTGCCGTTTTACCAGGACTAAGGATATAATTACTTAAATATGATCTAAATCAGTGGCTCCCAACCTTTTTTAGGCTGGGGCCCCCTTTGGCTCCCCAGTGAATCTCCAGCGCCCCCCCCCCCGACAGACACATAAAAACAAACGCCTCTTTCTTGACATTTAGTACGCTGCAATTTTAAAAGAAAAAGGTTAAACACAAATGTGTATTTCACAAATAGAACCCATTTAGTAAACCAATATATTTTTTACAGTTTTAACTGTTTCAGCACTAGAAGACGGCTAGGACAAATTTAAGGCCGGACTTGTGGCCGGTCTCGCAGCCGGTCTCACGGCCAATCTCCAAATTCAGTGACCAAGGAATATCTCCCAAACTAATGACGCAGCTCAATAAAACTTGGAACGCGTATTCATTAGGACCTAAAAGTGATGTTTAACTCGTGAAAAAAATTTTAAATTTCACCTTCATTCGGGAGTTACAGTATATGACGATACGGGCCGAAATTCGCATTGATTTATTTCCAAAGTATATCAAAGTATTTCTTCCAAACTACTGAACAAATTCGAACGAAATTTTGAATATCAATTCCTAACTACAAAACGGTGATTTTTAGCTCGCGTAACTTTATTCGAGTCGGAGTCACGTTTTGCACGTGTTGTGTACAAATCGTCAAACAAATGTACGAAATTCTGACTTCGACTTCACGGACTGCCGCCCCCCTACTTTCCCTTCCTTCCTCATCCCCCCCCCCCAGATCTTTCCACCGCCCCCAGGGGGCGATATCGCCCACTTTGGGAACCACTGATCTAAATACATTGCGTTTGCGCTTAGCACGCCATGTAAAAACAAAACGGGAAACAAGTGCGGACAAAGCTCGCTGGGGAGTATTGTGAATATAGATTCTTTGTTGATTAGATCAGTATTTGTTTTGGATAAAGTGAAGCATAATCTACAGTATATATAGACTTGAATTTTAAAATGTAATCACGTAAATTCATTAGTCTGGATATGTGTGGTTGTATATACGTACATACAGTAGTTACGGGTGAAAGGATATAAATCAAGTTAAATGTTCGAACTTCACTTTAACAGGTTGACTTTAGCAACGTCTTCGGAACGCAACTTTTGATTCTTATCAAAAATTTTACCGTCTTTGTCAAATGGATACCTACACATTACGAAACCCATGTTTGAATATTTTAACCTAGACGAAACTTGCCCGTTCTCTATATAGTATATTTCTTGATAAGATTATTTTTTTTTCAACGACCCGTCTTACATGTGTTCTGCCCTCATCGTTCATCAACTAAAAATAATATGCGTTTAAAATTACTTTTTAAAGACAACACTTCCAAAGAATCCAGCGTCTTTGATGTTACACATGTGCAATGAATTTCTAATTTTTTTTCTCAAAAATAAAATTTTTTTTAATATATAAAAATTTTGTAAATTTCCAAAATTATTTATTGTGTCAACTGATTCATGCATTGTCTTTCACTTTATGCAAGTGTGCAAAATTTCACATCGAATATGGACATGTAGAAGTGTGTCAAATATCGATTATAAGATTTGTAACAGACGAGATTATTTAAAATTCGTTTAATATGAAAAAAAAAAAAAAATTAAAATTCTTCATTCTGTCAATTGAATCACGAATTGTCTCCAACTTTACGCAAGTATGCAAAATTTCAGATATGTATATTGGACAGGTAGAAGTGTATCTGATATCGATTATAAGATTTGTATACAGACAGTGTATACAAATGTATACAGTGAAGTTAAGGAGAATAATTGTTATATGAATAAGCTGAAACCATAAGAGTCATTCCACAACTTTCACCGTAACTCATTGTCATGCTTCCATTTACCTGATATTATACCAATATGGATCAGAACTTCATCAGGTATTGAGACTCGAGAACAGCGCCATTGACTGAACTGCTCAGCTTGGATTCAATTAATGAATACTTCTTTTAAGTCTTGAAATTAATTTTAATCTAGTCTGCTGTTGGTTCTTCTACTTGCTTTATACGTATTATTTCGCTTTTTTATCTCAGTCTACATAAGATATAAATTAGCTTACAAAAAAAAAAATATGTTCAATTCTCGATATTTTACAAAATATCTCTTCCCACGACCATGCTGCTGCGGTGTGCGCGGCTAAAGTTCAGCATACCAATATTTATATTTTTACAAAATATAATATTATTATGAGGAATAATTAATATGAAAATAACTAATATTGTTGCTGCGTACTTCAAAATGTTCGTGTGTTCTGGTCAGACGAGAGTTTCTATGAGAATTAAAGAGAATAGACTTAGTAGCCAAATGAAACCCACGGCAATAGATCCACAAAACTAACGTTTGTTATAAAACTGTACCCTTTAGTTCAGTCTATCGGTTGATCAACGAGTCAGTTTACTCTACACTGGTGTATGCTCGAGCTTCAGCTACTCTCAGCAGGTGTTCACTAATCAAGTTTATGTGTTGCGGCCACTTTAACTCGCCACATCTGAACACTATATGATGAACTAAACATATGATGAACTAAAATGTTTGGGACTGAATATAACAAAGTCGGTATTTTGTATCCATTTTGTGATGCCGTGATTCTTTATATGACTTACAACTATTGTTGAAAAAACATTTCGTAATGTCGTTAACTACATTATCCATAGTTTGCTGCCGATTTTATAATTTTGCGCTATGATTCATCTCACTATTTTAATGCATAATGTGACTAAAAAATTTTCTAATCGTTTTCCATAAATGGTGCAATCATTTTAACAAACAGCGACAAATTCAAAATTATAACTAGATTTACCTAACGCTTTCTTTAATTTACTCACATTTGAATGAGCGTTATTTGCACCTACAAGAGAAATGCTCGCAAAGTCAAAAGATTCACCATGTGCCAAATATTTTAGAATTTCGCTCTATAAGTTAGCTGGATACTTTATTTGATATTAGGTATGATGGCAGCTTTAAGATTTTTCATGTTGTTGATTATATTTTGTTCGTACTAGTGTTCACTCCGTAATACCAGTGCAAGAAATTACAGTTGGATCGCTTTTTTCGACGGCAGCGAGGTAACTTCCATTGGCTCATGGTGCGATCAATACACGAAGCAAGGCATTTACCACGGGATATATTGCCGTTGGAAAAGCGAGAACTCATTTTACTACTTTAATTGCAGTTTAATTCTTCTTCCATTGAAGGATAATTATGATCACATAAGTGATGAGCTCGATTAAGAATATCATCAGCGTTCCAGCTCACTTTTTTGCAAATCTCTCCTAACCAATTAAGGGACTTCATTCTTTTTCCTGGCATTGCAGATTAAAAATAAAAATGTCTATTTGCTGTCAATCGCTATCCAAGAAATAAATAAGTTGAATAATGCATGACGTATTGTATATGTAATCATTCTTTAATTCAATTCAATTCAAGAAATTAACCTTGATTTGATTTCTACTTACCATTGAGCTCCTCTAAATATAATTGCTGCGATGCTAAGACCGGCCGAAGCTCGCCATGCTTAACAGTTTAGGATCTGAGATTCAGAGTAATTCAGAGTCTTACCAATCAGTTCAGCGGGCCAAATGCATTCGATTCATGGTAACGGTCAAAATGTTATTTCACGGAAGGAATACATTTTTTATGAATGTTTGGTTGCGATTTTATCCAAATGATGAGTTAAATGTGAAGGGATTAAGGTATATATATTTCCAAACTTTGTTGTAAAAGAGTGGTTGGCTACCGCTCGTGGCCTTGTCTGGGTAACAGGTGCTTGAACACTTGCAGTTCAAATGTGATATGAGTATATGGTCTATTCCACTCGACTCACTCATAAGCTGAGTAGAAGAGTTCTATCAAAATCGAAGTTACAAATATCGAATCCAGCGGTGAACGTATGAAATTTTGTTAGAATATTGCTATATATCTCCACGGCACATCCTTCATGTTCCGTAATCTTTCTTTTTACAATTCAGCAATTTCGTTTTGTTCTAACTTGGCTAAAAGTTATTCATTTTGTTCTATCTTTATTCCTGCACTATTTTGTTCTTCCATCTTTTTTCACTGTGAATTTTCTCATCAATGATCAGCAATATTCAATGGAAGTTGGAGAATAAGTTAACGGGAAAATTGCACAATATACGAACAAAATTAATTAACCCTCTAATTTATTATATATTGATTAATATCGACAGCGCTAGGCAGAGCCGAGATGGTATTTGAGTGTACAAATAAATATTTTCTGGTAGTTACATTTAAATTATACAACACAAATCTCTCGTGCACCGATCTTCTATTTTCTGCATGGCTAGAACATACAATGTTTATGTTTATTGAGGTTTAGCGTCTGATATTCCGTGGCGAGATACATCGAATTTGATAATTTATTTAACTAAACATTGGATCACTCCGTACAAATGTATATTCATGTCATCATTTCAATTTTTTGCTTTATTTTGCAAAGTAACCATAAAATGTCCATGATCGTGCAGAAGGTTACGGAATGATGTGAACTATTGAATTGTTCATTCAATTTTGTAAATGTACTCGTAAAGGACGCAACACAGAAATATTTTCAAATAACACTTTTTAGCACCTGTCTTGCAATTGCATTATTTTCAATATTATTTTTCTTTCGACGCAGCGGTTCAAAAAAATTACCGTGTATATTTTTAAGCGTTAATAAGTAAAAAAAAAATTCATCCTCCTGAAACTATCTCATCTGTAACGTAAAACATGCAAATCGATTTGTTGCAAAGCCCTGTAGCGAAGGGGTACATGTTTAGGATGATCATCACTTAATTAATATCTTATTTTATGACCAAAATAAATTTATCAAACAAATAGGTCTCGTCTATGAGACTGTTCCAATTTGTACATTAACTAGAAGATAAGCTATAAGTACAAAAGTATAAGCTCATGTTATTGCGTTCTCATGTTACACGTGTAAATATTGTGGTGAACACTTGTTTACCGTAACCAATGTGCGGTTACTACGTTTTGTACACGTCAGCAATTAAATGTTTATACCACGTCAGCGTAATATAAACTCTTCTCGAGCAAAGTTTAACAGGAGCTTTGAGAACCGAGGTAAGAATCCAGTTTCTGGAAATGAGTTTACCAAATTTCATGAAACAAAAAATGTTTCATTAAGTGGGTTGCATCAGCCGCATTACATTTGAACGCATTTGAAGTTTAATACACGTGTAAATATCACTGTGAACACTTGCGACATAATTCTGGTTGCCGCAGAGCGCTGGTGTGGCCAGTTCTAGTGCGACCCTCGCCTGAGCAACAACAACTGATGGACGCGCCTGCCTTACTTCTCGCGCTGCTGGTGGTGGCTGCCTCGGCAACGGTGGGGAATATATACTTGTACATATTAATGGTCTTGAAATGTTGTTGTTTAATTGTGAGGTATTTTTATATGTTAATTGTATTTTCTGCTGGTGGCGGCAGCCTCGCCTGCCTCAACAACGTTGAGGAATACATACTGTTAAATATTAATGGTCTTGAAATGTTGTTGTTTAATTGTGAGGTATTTTTATATGTTAATTGGTATTTTCTTCTGGTGGCGGCAACCTCGCCATGGCAACGCTGGGGAATATACACTTGTAAAAATACTAACCCGCCAGACATCTGATTCTAAAATAACATTGAATAAATGTTTTATCACATAAATAAACTCTTAATCAACGTTGTTTCAATGTCATTTCTCTAAAGGGTCAATATCTGAAATTGATGTTTAATTTTTCTTTTGATGAATAATGTATTTGCGTGAATTAAATTTTAAATTTCAGGTTTAAGCTTGTTAGCAGACGCAAAATATCAATTAGAAAGTTTATTTGAAATGAATTGAATGTTTTGTTTGAATGTTTTTTCTGAAAATAATCTTAGAGAGTCTCGTTATAAAATTTTTGCTCGCATTCAATATGACCGTAAATATATTAATTGTAGATGTAACCATATTACTATATTTCTACGTGTAAAAATCAAATAAAAATGCTGTTAATACATTTCAAAATGTCAATAATTCGCAAAGTAACCCTTGTTTTCTCATGAATTTATTCCACCTTTCATTTTCGCTCAGGACCTGTCATCGTCTGCTGGAATGCCCCGCGCTGGCGTATCGCCGGAAACGGTGGGTGAATTTAAGTAACTTCAAGATTCTCATAAATGATCGTTATAAATTAATGGAGATGCATTACTAAAGACATAAATGTAACCATAAACAATCGTGAACGTGAATATGAATTATTTTTTTATTTTGCGGCATTTTTTATGGGATTGTTCATTTTTCTCTGAAAAAATATGCGAGAATATTGCAGGCGGAATTTCTTTATGGTGAATTAGACTAACTTTTTATTTTCCATTTATTTCGCATTTCATTCCGTTTTTAAATAAATACGGGTCGCAAAAGCAGTCTATTATAATAAAAGGTACCTGCATTGCTTGTGCGTTTAAGTTGCTGGCATTCAATGCTGTAGTCGTATTTAACTTACTTTTACCTCCAAGTAATCGACGGTTTTATCACTTGCAGTTTGTCCTACAAACGAACCTACAAACGAACTTATTCTCAACCTGCGCTGCGGAGGCGAACTCTGTGTCAGGAAGCCTTTACTCCATCGAGCTGGGCACCTCAGAGTTCGTTGAGCTGACAAGCTCGAGCACTCAAAACATCACGTGGTTTAGGTTAGGTTAGTTTACAACTCCTATAGATCCTCTTTTCATAGCGTAATGCAGTCAAGTGAGCAGAAACTAAGAAAAGCCGTCCGGCAGTCAGTGAAAAAGGGCGGGGAGACGGGGTAAGCGTGGAGGTAGAGTTATGGCGGGGGAAAACAGCTGCGACGAACGGACGGGCTGGAGTGCTGACTGTGTATCAACAGCGGTATGGCGTAGGGAGTTGCTTACCGAAAATCGTGAGATTAGACGGCATGGGATAGAGCTGTTGGACGGTTTTCAATACGGCGTAGAGCGATTGTATTGGTGGCTTACTTCTCATTAGCTCGCTGGTTAATTTCCATGAAGGGGATTTGTACCTTTGGCTTTTAACTTGTAATCCCTTAGTCTACTCTGCCCTTTAGCAGGCTTACGCACGGAAAGGAGGATGAAATATATGCTGGTCTTGGGCTATGCTGGCCTCCGGCATGCATCCCAAATGCCTGATAGAATACGCTTACTTCTTCATGACGCATCACGAACGCTAATTTGGTTTTCTGATTTACAGGCAAACTCATGTTCAAGTACAGCGGCAGCACCTGCAAGGTGGCCGTGAAGGGACTCTACGATCCAAGCAAGCCCTCGTGTACAGGAGAGACGGTCTACGTTCTAAGCAATAGCGAGAAGTAGGGCTGGCTTGGAGCCGTGCTATTGAAATTCGCTTAAAGTTCACGTAGCGATTAAAAATCCATCAGTGATTGGCCGACGGAGTTACGAAATATCAACCATTTCTGATAGTACAGCACCAATACTCTTAGCAAATTATCTCTGGAATCTCTAAAATTTATGAGGCAGAGTTCCACTTCTAAATACTTGGATTTACATGCAATCAATATTGTTCACGACAGGCTCATTGTGATTAAGCAATCACATTGTTTCGAAGCTCTAAGATAAATATTGTTTACTAACCGTATGTGCAACGCAAACTTTCATGTTTTTGTTGTCAAATAGTTTGACTATTTTGTATAAGAATGCAACTTCCAATTAGCGCGGCTGCGTTCCTAATATGAGCTTATGTTCTGGTATCTCAGCTACGACGGCGTGCTTCACCTCCCTGGGCGCGTTCTTGGACGGTGAGAGGATAACAACCGACGGCAATTGCACCTCAAGCTGTGCTGCAGGCAGCGTAGTGGGTGAAGGTGAGAAAACGATGTTTAAAAAATAGTGAAATTTCCCCTTGTTGAAAAATTGCATGAGTGGTGAATGTTAAAAATCTTAAACCAATGCTTAGTACTGTAATGCATCAATCAGTAGTATACAAATCTGTACTATACAGAATCAGTAGTTTATCAATAAAGACTGCAACGATCTGTAGCAGCGTTGTACTAATGACCTGTTTCAGATGGCTCGAAGCTAGAACATTCAGTTTAACTCCTTTCTTTATGCAGAGAATTTAAACAGTGGTAATATTTAATTTCATACGTCCAAACTGTCGATATGTGAAACTCTTTCTCTCGAAAAAAAATAACTTTTTTTTGAGGTACTTGATTAAAATTTCGTGTTGCTCGTCGTTTCCTATGAACAATAGGCTCAATATCCTTGAAATCTAGGCCATAGTTTTTACGGTTAAATTTTTTCAAATCAAAAATTGTGAATAAAAATATATTTCCAAAGCTGACTTGACGCAGTTTCTCCAATATTGTACTAATATTCATACTAGAATTTTTGCTCATTATGAACCCAAGTTGCATTATTATACTGGTAATTGATAAACATTTTTCCTAGGTGGGACTGTGCTAACAGATCTTCAGGAGGAAACGCTGCAGTGCTGCAAAAACACCAAGTCTCCCTGCGTTCACTTTTGCTGCAGCAACGGCGGCACCTACCCTGATTGCGGCAGCCCTGGCAGCACCGTCAGAAAAGAGTACTTCTGTGATGCGGTGGCCGTTTGTGTTTACCATGGACTGCTCCTGGCCCAGATTGACACGCCTGCGAAGCTCACTGACATACTGGACATCATCAGCCAACAGGATCCAGGTCAGAAAATATTATTGTCATTCGGTCCCTAAATATCGAAATTAACTAATAGCTTAGTGCAAATAAAATTTTTGAAAAATCACAAAATTTTCATTGGAAACTTTCTATCGTCAGTTTGAAATTCAATAATACACCTGTAATCAAACTGAAGATTCGTGCAAATTCATGGATTGTACTTCTAATACAAATTTTGAACTGCCATTAGAGCAGGTCGGCAAAACGTTTTTGATGAAATGAGGCGAATCTTCGTAGCATTTTCTTACCTTTGAACTTTCGGTCAGAAATTATTTTTTTGAACTATTTACTCTTCATAAAATTTTGAAACAATGCAAACTGGTTTATCTGATTGATAGAAATAATGCAGTACAAACTAAACTGATTAAAATGAGACTTCGCTCGAAAATATAAAGTTGACTACAAATAACCGATTAACAAGATCTTCTAATTTTAAGCAAAGGTGTTTGGGCAGAAAATTGTGTGAAATTAGATTAAATAATTAGTTAGAATGTCCATTTAATCAATGAAATTATAATACACGATTTATTAATGAAAAGCGCATTGTCGAGGGAATGTTGAAGTATAATTTTTTATTTCTCAGCCGCGACGCAATTTTGGGTGAACGTACGAAAAATCAGCGGAACTTGGGTCAACATTCCTAGCAACACGCCTGTGGCTGCGGGTGATTGGGCAACACCTCCTGTTGACGGCGAATGCGCGTATGTGGATATAAGTGCAAACAATCGACTCAAAACCGCGCCATGCGACGGGGAAAAACGTGCCTTTCCTTGCGTCGATCCCACAAATTCTCTGCCAGTTTGTTAGTCAACTTCTGCATAGATTTGTGCCACGGAATTTTATGGAATTTCCGCAGACGAAGCAATAAAAAACATTCATGAGAACGCTGATTCTTTAATTATTTACATATATTTGTTGGGATTCGATGAGACATGCTTCGCCTTCTTAAAAAAATTCGTCTTGCTGTCTTTTGACAGAAAGACTAATGAAGCAAAGTTCCTGAAACGTGAAATGGTAGATTAATGGCGATGAACAGTGACATAATTCACTCTAATTACTGATAAATGTATATAAAAACACAAAATAACCATCACCATCACAATAGACGGTAATCCACCTCAACTTCGCGCAGTATTTCTTCGCGCTGATTCTTAAAATACTCATCGACTTTAAATTGAGGAACTATGTTAACGAGAGTTGACCGACCGCTGCAGAGGGCAAGAATCGCCTTTGAAATCGGACAGTCGACACAGAAGTCGTTAATTATACAGAGAAGGTCACTGCGTTAATAATATAGTCGAGGCACTAGGACTTGCTTCCGGCAGTTGCCACTGCAGTGACAGGTAAGAATAATTAACATCACAAATTAGGCCATATTGACGGAGCCTTTAGGGAGCGTCTCCAAACACCAGACAGGGCGAGACCTGAAAGGATGACGCCCTCTGCCGACACCACGAGAGCCAAGTGTCAGTTGCTCAGCTCCGACAGTACGAGCCTGGACATTTCTCCTCGCAGGCTCTATGTAACCTACGTACATGTATCCTGCTAAAAAAAAATTAGACCGGTGATTAGTAGAACTGCTGGCTTCTATGTAGAACGCCTAGTTATATAGCTATTTAAGTGAGATGTGAAAAGCCACTCATGGTACAAGGAAAAATTGAGTCTAACTAAATACTTGCCAGGGCGTTCGCTGACAAGCGAAATGCTCCACTATTAACAAGGAAAATATAATAATTCGTTAAGTTGACGGATTCATCTTCTATCAGTTACGAAATAAATTCAACCGAACGATTCCAGCGAGATGAGTTATGTCACCCGAATAGGAGTTATAGTGTTTTGGTGCATATATGTACATAAGATGCATAATACAAGTAATTATTATCGCTGAATAGGATAAAACTTGTCTCGTTGACAAAAAGTTTTCACTATCTGTGCTGAATGATACACCAAAGAATGATTGGGCTAATACAAGATTCATTAGATTTCATTGGGCATAATTTAGACGAAGTTATATACAAACAAATGCAGTCTTAAATGTCCACAGTAAAATAATTATTCAAAACTCACACTCCAAGCTCCATCGGAAAGAGATAATCGATATAAAAATTTACAGTTTGTTGCTCTAGGCATTACCTCTAAATATCGAATTCATGTCAACGTTCAAATTAGAATACATTAGAACGCGTATATATAAATTTTCGGTTCCTAGCAAATTTCTGCTATTCAAGTAGTAGTTCGGAAAGCTTATAGAAATGATTAATAATTTAATTTAGCTGCATGGGCGAACTCATGGAATGGTACATTCCTATTCATTTGTTCAATAACGAATGAATGAATTCGAATCGTCTGTTGGGAGATATTAATGCTTATATACACAAACTAAGATTCATACGAGAGATCAACGACCAGAGAATTCGTTGATTTAAAATGTAAGAGACTAAAACAATTTTTCAGATGCATGAAGTCGGTAGATCGAGAGGCATGTTTCAGGAAGTATTTCGATCTTTGGTTTTATTATATAAAAATTAATATTTGTGCACGAGATATTGATTCTGCTAGCTTTTCTTGCTTCGATATTTTAGTTATATTGAAAGTGAGGTTAGAGTATCTGAACAATGCAATGGTGATTCGTATTTATGTGTAATTATGCCCTTATTCACGGGTGCATAATAATAAAATGTAACTGACATCCAGAAATAAAGTGACTTTAAATAAGGTCAGGTTTATCTGATAGATTGAAATAACGCAGTACAAACTAAACTGTGTAAAATTATATAAATAAATTAATATAAATTTACCTAATAAAAAGTGGTCAATAAACTATCGAACTGATAAAGTCAAGGAAGGGGAATAAAGAAATTTTTAGGCAGAATTTTGGTTTTAAATAGAAGCAAAATTTGTATCATTTATTTATCATTCGGTAATTTAATCATGATTCTAACTTCACAATACAAAATATATCATTCAGTAAACGTGCATCATGCGCTAGCCTCATGATGACTTGCGTCACGCCGGTAAGTTGCTAATTTCTTCATTTTATTTTACACAGAGTAGGGCAGAGAACATTGCTTATTTGAAACATATATTATAAAAAAGTATTGAATATATACAAATCAATTTTGTAACAGCATAATCAAGAACAAGTAAATTTAACAATTAGCCAGTTTTAAAGATGATATCACGCAAATGACGTCTGTTTTGTCAATACATTGAGTCAGTCGTATCCGGAAATTGGTGTCGACTCTTTCCAGCATCTTAATAGGAATGCTGGCGATGGCTTCACGAATGTTAAGATGCTCAGGTAGTTATCGTAACAAATCACACTTCAGGAAGGCAAATTCATATAAGCAAGTTCCTCTGCCTCACCATGTATCATGTCAGACAAACAAATTTCATTTATGTCTCCTAACTCAAATCCTGTATTTTAATCATAAATTGTTTTCATGTCGTTTCTGCGCTGGAAGTGACGATACTAAACTATAAACTAACTTATTATCTACGTTGAACGATTGGACTCGCCTGCTGGACGAAAGGGAGCCAGTGGATGCATTGTACCTCGATTTTGCCAAAGCATTTGACAGTGTTCCGCATGAGCGGCTGTTGCGTAAAGTGAAGTCCTTGGGAATTGAGGGAAACGTACTCCAATGGATCAGAGATTTTCTAGTAGGTAGACGACAACGTGTCAGTATTAACGGAACCGTGTCAGACAGGGCATCAGTGCGCAATGGCGTGCCACATGGAAGCGTCCTGGGGCCTATTTTGTTCGTTGCTTTTTTAAATGATCTGCCAGAAGTAGTGTCCAGCGTGTGCTCCATGTATGCCGACGACACAAAAGTTTATAATACAGTGAAGAATGTGTCAAATAAAGCGCAATTACAAGATGATCTTGACAGTTTAGTTAACTGGGCTGATACGTGGCAGCTGCGTTTTAATACAAGGTCCCAGAAGGATTACTAGCATTTGATACAAGAATCAACACCAGGGGCCACGGCTATAAACTAAAAAAACTGCGTTGGAACACATCCATGCGACAACATTTCTTCTCGCTTCGAGTCACCGACATGTGGAACAGCCTCCCTGATAGTATCGCTGACGCTCCGAGTATGAACGTTTTCACGAACAGACTAGACGAAGCTATGCAGGAGCATATGTTCAGTTTTAAAATGCCTAGCAAATTACGGACCAGGCAATAAGTCCAGACGAAGCTATGCAGGAGCATATGTTCAGTTTTAAAATGCCTAGCAAGTTACGGACCGGCAATAAGTCCAGCAGCTATCTCAATCAACCATCAGTTATGGAAAGATCGGGTTACAAAGGCTGGATCCCTTGTGAATCAAGTCACGAAAAGTTCAAGAATAAGCAACAGGCCATGGGCCTATTTCTCCAGTGCCGACACTTCTATTCTATTCTAAGTGTAAAGTACTTCACCTCGGGAAGAACAATGAACAGCAAGATTTCAGTATGAGAAGACATGGTTGCAACGAGACAGTAATGATTGAAAAGTCTAGTGTGGAAAAATATTTGGGAGTTTACGTCAACAAGGAGCTGAAATTTTCTAAGCATACCTATTGAAACGCAAGCTAATAAATACAACAAACTTCTTGGACTGATCAGACGCTCTTACGAGTTCCTAGATGCAGAAGCAATGAAGCAGTTGTTTGTTGCTGTCGTGCGCCCGAATCTAGAATTTGGAAACGCAGCGTGGTCACCAAACCTTGGAAAGGGAAAAATGTAGTAGAGAGTGTTCAAATAGGTGCAACAAGGATAATTCCAAGCTTGAAAGGCAAGTCCTATGAAGAAAGATTAAAGATTTTGAAGCTTCCGAGCCTCAGTTATCGACGTCTGCGTGGTGACCTCATTGAAGTATACAAGTATGCTCATGGCTTATTCAAGGACCAACAGGGGCCACGGATACCACCAACAAACCAACACCAGGGGCACGGCTATAAACTAAAAAAACTGCGTTGCAACTCTTCCACGCGACAACACATCTTGACGCTTCAAATCACCGACAGCCTCCCCGATGACATCGTTGGCGCTCCAAGTATGAACGCGTTCAAGAACAGACTTGATAAAGCTATGAAAAAATATATGTTCAGATTTGAAATGCCTAGCACCATATCGAACTCGGTGGAAGTCTAGCAGCTACTTCAAACTATCGTCAGTTTGGAAAAGATCCGGTCGAAGGACATGTATTTAGATCTCCTGTGGACAAGTCACGACATGTACAAGAACCGGCAACAGGCCACATCAGGCCTATTATTCAGCGCCGACACCGCTATGCTATGCTAAGAGAAGCAAAGGAATGCAGGAAAGAGAGGAAAGGACTGGATGAATGAGAGGAAAGTATTGCAGGAACGGGAGGACGGGGAGAGAGAGAAGGGTTGGACGAAAGGAATGCAGGAAATTGCTCGGGAAGGATTGGATCAAATATTGAAATAGAATTTATAAATTGGTGTTTATAAATCCAATTAAGTAAACTATCATCATATTTTGTAGGAAGTTTTGTGCTAAAATGCAAAATATGCGTTTGAACTGATCAGATTTTGTACCCGGACATGAGTTGACATCCCTACAAGATTTCGATAAAATAATTTTCATTTGTATTATGGCCCTGCAGTTTATATTCGTAACTATTATGATTTTCACAGCAAGGTTAGCATGAAACGTTCGTAACATAGCGATGCACTTTTGGCCCTCGTGTGGGTCAACCTAACCCAGTTTGGTCTGGCATAATGGGCGAATCAGTGTGAAGTCTGCTCTTTGCTCGTGCTGAGGGTAAGGAAAATTGTCAATTTTCGGACAAAATTACCTTCATTTTTCTGAAAGTTTGCAATAGCTCAATATGCAGGGGCTCGTTGCCTGGAACAACAAGCAGTGGAGAGAAGGAAAGTCTGAGAAGGAAAGAGAAGGAAAGTCAAATTAATATACTTTCTTTCTACCAATGGCTGATTTCGGCACAATATTTGTAGCATAAATGGAGTAGAAAATACTTAACATAAAATTAATTCTATAAATTCTGCTAGTAAAAACAAGGTAATCGATTTACAGCATGAATAGGTAATAAATAATTTGGTGCGACATTAAATTAATAATTATGGTAAAAAATGAATAAACATACATTGGCAGAATATTGATATACAGAGCTGGGTAAAATTAGGCGGCCATCATGTCATGGCAGTCATCAGTGTCATGGCAGTCATCAGTGTCATGGCAGCCATCATGTCATGGCAGTCATCATGTCATGGCAGTCATCAGTGTCATGGCAGTCATCATGTCATGGCAGCCATCATGTCATGGCAGTCATCATGTCATGGCAGCCATCATGTCATGGCAGTCATCAGTGCCATGGCTCTATTTCTTTATGCTACATATCGTCTGAAATATCTGTAACGGTATATAAAAAAATTATTTAATACGACACAACTATTTTAAACCAATTTATTTAATTACAGAAATAGAATAAGTAGCCAACATTTACACGACATAACAAAGCAACGACTGTCATGTCTTTCTCACGAACTTTCCTGAAGAATTAATATCAAAATGTGCTATAAAATATCTCCAAAATTCAATTTAAATATATAAAAATAAATATCGCTATGACACCATTCCGAGTAAAAACCTGCAGACACTCAAGAGAGAGCAGAATCAAAACTGTCAGAAATACAGCTCAGGAATTTTGTCCTTAAGGACAGAAAGATTCTATCCTATAACGCTGCTTATAGGATAGAATTATTATTACAAGGTTAGGAAAGAATAGAAAGATTATTAAAAATTAATCAAAACCGAACAAAATTCTGAAAATATTAACAAATTTTTGGGGATAGATGGATGACGTAAAGCTAACCTCAGAGGCCCGGCATTCTCAAAATAATTACTGTTACAATAATAACGAAAATAAGCACAATAATGAAAAAAATAAACATAAATCACTATTTCAGGCGTTTATGACATGGGCTCCACTGAAATGTTATTAAGTGTTTATTAAAATAAATATATGACATTAGAGCCAGGAGATTCCATACCTAGTGAAATTATATGATATTAGAGCCACAATATTTCAGAATATACGTTTAAAAATTACTTTTTAAAGACCACACTTCTAAAGAATCCAGCGTCTTTGTTGTTACACATGTACAACGAATTTCTAATTTTATTTTCAAATATTAAAAAAATTAACATAACTTTTTTATATATCAAAATTTGGTAAATTTTCAAAATTATTCATTGTGCCAACTGATTCCTGCATTGTCTCTGACTTTATGCAAGCGTGCAAAATTTAAGATTGATTAAACAAGTAGAAGTGCGTCAAATATGGTTTATTGTATAAGGTTTGTAGCAAACAAATTATTTTTCAACTTTTTTTAATACTGAAATAAAACTTTTTTGTATTTTCCAAGTATTTATTCTGTCAATTGATTCATGCATTGTCTCCGACTTTACGCAAGTGTGCAAAATTTCAGATCGATTTGACAGGTAGAAGTGTGTCATATATCGATTATAAGATTTGCAGCAGACAGACAAACAATAAGAAGTGAAGTTAAAGAGAAGCGTTGTAAAGATGATACAATTGAAGAACCCACTTATTATCACGACCAAGCATTACCTGCTTCAATTTCAATGCACTGGATGTTTTGTTTCTTATTTGCAAAGTAACTCTGAATTTATCCCAAACATGACAACTAATATTTCAATAACAACCACGCCGCGATCAACCGTGGCTGCCAAAAAATTAACCAAGTTGGTAAAAATCCCAATAAAATCATGAATAATTAAATCATATACGAAAAATTAACCAAGTTGGCAAAAATTCCAATTAAACAATGAATTATTAAATCATTTATGATCTCAGAGGTGAGGTGGTTTAGCTTCTGAATGATTACGAAAAATATGTCCATTCAAATCTCGACGAGTAACACCCGTGTATTTACACAGATGACAGTGGAAAGGTCTCTCATTTGAATGTTTATACAGAATATGTCGGTTTAAATGTTTCTGTGTAACACAAGCATATTCGCAGTCTGAACATTGGAAAGGCTTCATTGTTGAATGTTTATGAAGAATATGTTCCTCAAGACGTTGCTGAGCAACACAAGCATAGTCACATTGTGAACACTGAAAAGGCTTCTCTTTTGAATGCCTATAAAGAATATGGCGATTTAGATGGTGTTGTGTGACGCATGAATAAATGCAATGAGGACATTGATGAGGTTTCTTTGTTGAGTGTTTATAAAGAATATGTTCATTTAGACGGTTTTGTGTGGCACATGAATATTGGCACTCAGAGCAATGGAAATCTTTTTCTGCAAAATGCTTGAGACGAATATGATTTATTAGGCTAGCCTTTCGAAAACCAACAAATTTGCAATCAAGGCAGTGAAATTTTCTATCAGTTAGATGTTTATGCTGAACATGTAGCTGCTTGGAGCTGGATGATGCAGAGACCAGGCCAGCGCCACCAGCTGCTGCTGCAGCTCCCACAGCAGGGGACGACTCGCCGCTGCTGCACTGCTCACACGCAGGTGTATAAATGACGAGTAAATAATTAGTAATTAAGTTATTCTTTTTATTATCTCCTCAAATACAAACCAAACATAATAAACAATAACCCGTATTTACCATTTAATTGTTAACTATTAAGATATCACCTTCAACGTTCTGAAAAATCATCACACGGATACGAAACAATATTCATTTCATAAATAATCTTTTACATTCAATCACCAAATATTCCAGACTTGATAACTCAAACATGAATAAAATTTTATGAAATTTCAGGCAATTTTGATGATTATTCAGAGACAACATGAATAATGAATGCAAAAAAGTCTCTAAATTAGAACCTACAAGTAAAGGTGCTTGCATCAGAAATCAGCAAAACACTCGAGAAACTGAGTGCATGAGAAAAATAAACTGCACTCAATGCCATCCATAAACCATTAGAGCAGGATTGGAGCAAGTGATATTGTTTAAAGTCAGTTTATGACAGGGAGATGCAAAGAAAGCACGAATGTCACACGGACTGGCAGTTGTTTCCACTGAAAATCGTATGTTTCCACTGGTGAATGGGACATTTCTCTTCTGGGTTGGGCAAAATGTACCTAATTCTCTAGCATCTATATGGACAATCGCTACCTACATAAGAATGCCAAAAGTATTACCTCATAATAAATAGAATTTACCAGTTGTTCTGTTGAATATATGTACCTAGACCATTTCTCAATTATCAATCAAGACTTTTGATCTGTAGTAATCTTATTCTCAAACATTAATAAGACCCACCTAATTTAAAATCATGATTTTTGCAGTACAAGAATTCCAAATGTTTAATTCCCTAAATAATATGTAAAATATATGAATAAATACAATATTTTTTCACATTTCTTCATAAGAATAAGAACTCACCAATTGTTTTGTTACAATATTAGTGAACGAGGGACTTGGACCAGCGTCGAGTAGATCAAGAGCCTTACACGGCTCCTCCATCTTGCCAGGCCAGCAAGATGGGGATAGAGGAAGTGGGTCATGATGAGATGGTGGAAGTGGGTCATGATGAGATAGGGGAAGTGGGTCATGATGAGATGGTGGAAGTGAGTCATGATGACCTCCAGGACTAGGGTGATCACTTGAACAAGCCTGCACAACAGTTGGAAATATTGGTATCATTTAAATGGAAACATTCAACATGGGGAAATTGAAGGAAGCTGTCATAAGTAGATTATAATAATGCAAATATACTAATAATACATAGTCTATTATAAATACTTTCTTTATAAGTTTTCATGTATAAAAGAATGATTGATGATTAAGAAGTTTTGGACAGGTTCTCATTCTTTAATATGAATAAATTATTCATAGATTTAGATAATTAATACAATATTCAAAGAATTACATCATAACCAAATATTCTACGGAAAACTGCCTACTACTATTTTGTGTACCTCATCATAATATTGTGATGGCTCCTCTTTCACATACACAGCCTCCATCTCTTTCTTGATGTTCTCAGTTGTAACTTCAGGGCCTGAAGCAAGAGCAGCAGCATCTGAATCTGCACAGTAAAAAATATGATGCTCTTCCACAACACTGGTATTGTACTTCAGAACTGTGTAATGCTATAAGCTTTTATCAGACAAAAATAATTCCCTCATGATTAAAGTTCATTAGCTCTCTTTCACAAATACCTATATGGATTTTGTGGGTAAAAATTCATTGTGAATTTCAATCTAATTTCCACTTGAGTCTAATACTCACAAAATTTGTTTAACTTTACAACCATCAGAACTGCATAAAACTATGTAAATGAACTCTAAGATAAGGTTTCAAAAAACTTTTAATATAAATAGCAGTGTCAGTGCTGATTAGGTCATATGGGCCTGTTGCCAATTTTTAACCACCTTGCCAATTCTGACCAGAAGTGTCACAGGAAATGGGATTGAACCCGGAACTAAATGTTCAAATCCTGGTACTGCTTAACAGTAAACACTGGGCCACCAAGCTCACCTCCAGACTTACCTTCAACAACATCAGCACAAATATGAGCGAGGCTTGGCTCAGCACCGCAGCCTCTCCCCACGGCAGCAGCAGGAAGTGGTTGCACAACAACCCCAGAATTGAATGTGTTACTTGCCATGATTGCAAACTCCATACACTAATTGACATAATAATGATATATATTAAGCCTCACAATTTTAATTCAATTCATATTAACCAATGAATTTGAATGAGCAGAGAGCAAATTTCTCAACTGACATGAACTCAAGCAAATGAAAATTAATTTTTATCTTTTTATTTTCATGATATTGAAACACTGGTATGGAGTGGTAACAGAAGAATAAGTAAACTTCTAACCTGAGCTTAAGTGAAACTTTTCATTCATTGTTTGCTGGCATTATTGTGCAGCACTGGAGACTTGTTTAACCCTTTAACAGGATGGTGATATTTATAAGCCACACATCTGTAGGCAGATAAAGATTAATACATTGAATGCAGTTAATGAAATTGCCAACTGCCTGCTGGTGCAACTCTTGTGGAGTAGGTACCAATTGAAATTTCTAATTTGAAGTAATTAATATACTCTTCTAGTATTCAAATACAATAGTTAAACACATTTTTTATTATTTCAAACCTCTACATTTTATTCTCAACATAATGTACTATAAATAGCAAAAATATAAACATGTGTGATTCAATTGTGAATTTAATTCATTTTAATAAATGACCTGCCTGTGGGTCGTTTTGCACTGAATGTGTTAAGAAATAGTGAAAAGTTTTAATATCTTTATAGTTGCCTTACTAGAAATAGCCCTGAGTAATTGTGAGGACTTTTCAAAATATAAAACAAAAACTTTGACTAATAGAAACTCAAGAATGCTAGGAAATATATGACTAGATTATTAATTATTTACAATTAACAAGCAGTGTGTTTATGAGCTTGATTGAACTAGAATACTTAAAAAACTGAAGTTAGAACCAAGTTTTATGACACAAGCATCCTACAAACTCATTTGATATGATATTCATCAAAAGAAATTTGACTTATTTTGAAACTAAAATTAGCTCATAATGAGCAGTGGGGAGAGGTGATTAACCATGTAGAAACAATCAATACAAAATATACAATAAGTTAATACCTCAAGAACCAAGTAATGACATCTAGCTGCAGTATGAGTGAATATTGAAGTGTTCTTAATTGCATAGAATTAGTGAATAACTCAAGTTAAAAAGCTGCAAAAAAATTATATCCTAAAAGAATTGTGGCTGATTTAAAGTCAACATGATATTTATTTTGTAACAGATTGTGATGAGTTTATTAACAATTAAAATGATGAGAGCTAACAAAACAATTACAATATAAATATTTAAATACAGGTAATATACCATCAAACAGGGTAATAAGGGACAGTTTTGAGCATTTGTTGTTAATAACTTCTTACCATAGAACATTCCATAAGCAAGTTTGGGCTCATTTTAAGCTCATTGCAAGGGCTATCAAATGGTATCTCTCTCTGAAAAAGTTCCATATGCTGTTCGTTAGGTGACAGACACAAATAAAAGTGTCCCGAATTACCCCTGGGAATGGGGTTATCCAGGACACTTGATATAAAATTTAATTTTAAAACATTTTAAGCATGCAGAGTATACTCATCTATTACTAACAGTTATCTGAAGTCCTTTTCCTTTGTAGATGATTTAAATGTAGAATAAATGACATTTTCTGTGATTTTTACTTTCTTTTTTCTTTTGTTGATATGATATTACCATATCCATACATTAGCATATTATTGATGTGACATTACCATGTCCATGAACTGATGAACATGCCATTGAGCATTTACAATGATCTTGTCCACTGCAAGCTTCATATCAGCAGCTGTGTAGCACTTTTCTGTATCTAAACTTACAGGATGGATTGTAATTTTACACCAGTTTAATTGGGTCACGTGAATTCACTATAACAAAAAAAGATCCTGAAATAATGTACCTGAAACGGAGAGGATTATTCTGGTGACAACCATCATATTTTTTGGATAAATAAATCATAGTTTAGGTTTATTACTTTTCATTCTATGTTGCCCAGTGCACAATTCTATCTATGACATTCTCTGTACAATTTTTTTCAATTTTTCATGAAATGAATTTTTTTTGCTGAGCAAGGTAAATATAATCAAAATGTTTTGTTGTTAATTGATTTTTTGTTAACTGGAGCCTTTGCTAATTGAGGTTCTAACGTAAATGAATTTTTGGGGCATCACTTATCACCCCGGGGGTGTCCCTTATTACCCCCAATCAATCTCTTGCGGAAATGGCTGCCATTTTTTTTAAATGATATATTAGAATTCTGTCAATCACATTTTTAAGCCAACACCTGTGTGCAACGTTTATGATAGTAAAATTTTTTGTTATGGCAAATATTTTTTTGCAACAGACCTTAGCTGCTAAGGCTTAGCAGAGGTATGTTTCCACCAAAGTCTCACTTTTCACACATTTTTTAAAAGGATATTTTAGAGGTAGTATATGTATGATTTTTTAACTTGCTTTATGCCCAGGGTGCAGAGAGTGATGAAGATTTGAAAATCTTTGGAGATGCATTTGCAGAAAAATTTACATTTCCGAAGATCATGGCGTAAAAAATGACAATGACATCAGTTAAGCCTCAGCCATGTTTCCAGCTCTGCTCAGTCCTTTCACTTTTACCTTGTAACTCATGATGTTAGAACTTTGATGTTCAAATGTTGACACTACTGTCAAAAGTCAATATCACAATCAAAATTATTTCATAATTGGAAATGTGTTACAATATCACAATCGAAAATGTTGTTCGCAAATAACCATCGATCGCAATGCAAAACTGCTTCCATCTTCACTGCTGTGGCTTTGTTTACATATGGCTAGCTGAGCCGGCCTGCGGTGATGCCACACAACAACACAAGAACAATAAGAACACGTGGTACATTGACTGTGACATCAAACAATACAATATTTTGCTGCACCACAAATAAATAAATGTAAGTAATTAGTAATGGAAAATATGTTGCTGGAACATTTTGAGAGACTGTGCCTAAGCAGAATACTATATTATTATTATTATTATTATAGTAAACATACAAAACAATAAAGTAGTTCACTTGATTGCCACTGCTGGTGCTGGCATCTGAATGCGGGTGCGCCATCTTTGTTTAGAATTCAAACAATTCAGTATCTTACTGCGCCACAAGTTAATACATTTAAATTATTAGTAATGGAAAATGTGTTGCTGGAACACTTTAAGAGACCGGACCTAAACAGAATACGATGTTATTATTAGTCAACATACCGTAAACTGGGGTAACTTTGACTCCCGGGGTAACTTTGACCACTTTTGGTTTTTTTAACAAAAACCCCCAAAACTCAAAAACTATTTGACATAGAAAAATTTTGTTAATGGGCATTAAAGGCCTAATACTGAGGCTACATAACACAATAGAAAGATTTAAAAAGTTTGCATTTCTAATAGGTTAAAAAAATTAAAATGTGACCCACAAAAAAAGCTATTTTTAAAGCCTGTCAGAGTACCCCCTCCAATTTTTTTATTTTTTGGCAAAATAACTCCAGGTTTTGATGCATTGTAGTAGAACTCTTCTAGTTACATATGCAAAAGACAAATTTGAAAAAAGTGTCATAGTTTGCAAATGGGGGCGCCGCCCCCAATGGGGTAACTTTGACCACCTAATGTCAGCCATGATGGGGTAACATGGGCCGGGTGGATAATTAATTTGAAATGACCATAAATAACATATTTTATGTCTGATACACCTATTAATGTATTTTCTTTATGTTTCAGACTCTACAGACTCTAATTATTGTTAGATATAGAGTTTAAACTTATAAGTATTGACCTTAGTTCAAGATGCCTAGGTCCTACAAACGTCCGAAGGGGGCTCGTACCTACCAGAATTACAAAGGAGATCTTGTTGATCAAGTAGTGCAGAAGATCAAAGACAAGGAATTAAGTTTGACAAAAGCTGTAAAGCAGTATGGCATCGGCAAGGGTGCTCTTTTCAACAGAGTGCATGGAAAAACTGTGCTTAGTCCTGGACGACAGACTATTCTCTCACAGGTAGAGGAGGCCCTTATAGTGAAGAGGACACTTCAGTGCAGTGACTATGGCTTCCCTCTCCAACCAATGGACTTACGCATCATAGTCAAAAGCTACCTTGATTCAGAGGGGTGCACTGTTCCCATGTTTTCTATGAATTTGCCAGGCCCAGACTGGGCCCTGTCCTTCATTAAGCGGCATAGTGAGATCAGCAAGAGAGTATCCAATGATATTAAAAGGAGCAGAGCATCTGTGGGGAGGCAGAGTTGAGGGATTACCATGAAAGGTTAACAATCGAGCTCCAGGGCATTCCTCCCAGTCATATCTTTAATTACGATGAGACGAACCTAGCAGACAATACCAAGACATCAAGATTCTTATATTGCAGAGGTGTCAAGTATCCTGACTGGGTTATTAATATGAGCAAGAGCTGCGTCACGATGATGTTGTGTGGATCTGCTGATGGTACATTGTTGCCACCTTTCATAATATACAAAAGTGACAACCTCTACACATCATGGATACAAGGAGGTCCAACAGGAGATCCTTGCTGTCATTTTCGCTGCTGTAAGAATGGCACACAATTCCATCACACAGCCAGTGGCTGGATGGATGCTAATGCTTTCCAAAAGTGGTTTAGTGAACTTCTCTTGCCTCACCTTCAAAACCTGGATGGTCCCAAGGCTGTTATTGGTGATAATCTGAGTGCTCACTTCTCAGAGACTGTACTCAAACTAGCAGAAGACAATGACATCAAGTTTGTCTGCCTTCCCCCTAACTCCACAGATAAAACACAGCCACTGGATGTGGCCTTTTTTGGACCTATGAAGAAGGCCTGGAAACATGTCCTGGAGGAGTTCAAAGTAGAAAACCCATCTTTAAGCATAGTGAACAAGCAAGTATTCCCAAAACAGGTGAACAAACTCTTCAAACACCCTTCATTCTATCCAAACATTGAAAAAAACCTGAAAAGTGGCTTCAGGGCTACTGGGATTTTCCCCTTAGACATAAATAACCTGCTTCGCAGACTGGGCAACATCCGTACCGGTACTCGTAAAGATGCCACACCTGTCTTATCACGGGCTATCAGTTCCACTACATCCTCTTCCCTTGCAATTGAAGAATCACCTGAAGCAAGCAGTCTTTCAAATACCTTTGTCAATTACCTTGAAGAGAAGAAGTTTCCAAAATGTGCTAGAGAAGCTCGTCGTGGAGGAAGAGGAGCAAAAAATCAAGCTGGCACTCGTGTTGTGTCAACAATAAGCCAAGATGAAGATGAAATATCTGGCCAATCCACTTTAGACATGCACCCTTCAACATCAAAAGATCCATTTGCATACGCAGTTCAAATGAATGTTAAGAGGAAACTGGATTTGCTTGCAAAAAGAGATAATGCTGAGTCAGAGAGCACAGACATGGATACTGACCCAGATTCAGAAGAAATATATGATGTCAGGCCTACACGCTCCAGAAATGCCAGAGTATTGACACCAATGCTTTCGCCAGCAGGCACACGGTGAGCACACCATCAAAGGTGCAGGAAGAAATACCCTCTCCTACTTCTGGGACCCCTACATCAGGTAATACAGGAACAGTTAGCTATTAGGTATGTTTATTTCTTTGAAATATGTTCAAAAAATGAAAATTTTTTGCTAGTTGTGTGTTCATAAGTAAAAAGTTAATATTGTATTCCCTGTGCAGGTACACCAGCAGGCACACCATCAAAGGTGCAGAAAGAAATATCCTCTCCTAGTTCTGGGACCCCTACAGTAGATAATACATCTAATGAAGTAAAACCCAACCCTACCAAGAAACTGAAAGCACCTGCTCCTATCAGTACCTCTGATGAAGGATCCTCTACCTCAACAACAACCAAAAGCAGTGCACTTAAAGTGGGTAGCTTTGTGATTGCCAAAGTCTATGTAAACAACAGGCATGACAAACATCGAAAATATTTAGCCACTGTTGATCACTTTGATGAGACTGAGGTGTCAGTCACATTCCTCCATGCAAGTGAATCCAAGACTGTATTTACAGTGGCTAAAGATGACACAGCCTCAGCGGAGATGAAGGACATTTGTGAGATAATTGACGTGCCTTATAAGTTTAATAGTAGAGAGCAGTATGTGTTCAATGCTGCTCTAGATGTAAGTCTGTAGGCATTAGCTTAGGTCAGTGACTCGACCTTTTTTTACGAAAGGAACATTTTTTATGTTTATGAAA